GTTGACGCAGCTCCCAGTGCCCAGTATGACACTGGTACGTGGTAGGCCCTCCCCTAGAGTGGAGGGCAGAGGTGGACGCTTTCTGGGACCTGTCTGAGATGCTGGCCTGTGGCTGGAGGCCCCGTCTCCCCTGGCACCAGTCAGTCCTAGGGAGGCCAGGCTGCTGCTGGCGCTCTCTGGGTGCCCGTCTCTCCTGGGCTTCAGGTGGATGTGTGCTGGTGAAGACCACACAGCCCTGTTCGGTGGTGTTCCAGTTCCCATGGTAAAGATTCCCTCACCATGGCCAGTTTCAAGCTACTGACCCTGGGTGCACTGATCCTGAGGTTCTGTGGCCTCCTGACACTCTGTGGGTCTGGGGACAGAGGCCGGGGGAGCAGGGGAGCTGCCTCTGGCCCTGAAGGGCAGGTGGGATACGGCCAGCTTTTGCTGGAGCTCTGGGCCCCTGGCCTGCCACCCCGGCCCCCACACTTTCCCTGGCTCTGTGTGAGGAGCAGGCTCGGGAGCAYAGGCCCCGCCTGGCCCTGGGGCTCCGCCACGTTACTGCTCGTTTCCAAGAGTTCTAGGCTCCCTCTGGCCTCTGCTCCTCTGCCTGCAGACAGCCCTTGGTATAGGTGTCTGTGGGTGGGGGGGCCTGGGAGCTCGGTCTGAGCTGGGATCAGCTGTGCAGCCCAGCTGACCCAGTCCTCTGCTCTGGGAGAGGAGACCACGGCTGGAGTGGTCTAGCAGTCTGCCCACAGTCACCTTGCGCACTGGTTGCAGCCCCTCCTGCTGGTCCCACCTCCTGGTGTACAGTACCCACCTCTGCTAGGTGGCAGGGCGCTCCAGCAGCTCTTCTGCCCAGAGCCCCTGTGCTGGTGAGGCTCCTCTCAGGAGGGTCTTGGCAGAGGACACAATGGCTTGGTTGTCCCTGCCAGCCCTGGGCATTCTGCATGCCTAAGCCCCACACATCTGCCCACCAGCTGTCACCATAGACAGGCTCCCACCAGCCACGGGGAGTGTGAGGGACCCCGACCCCACGGCCTCTGTGGTGCTCTGTGCTCCCCACCTCTGCTTCCGGTGCTGGCGTGGGTGCTGCTCTGGGTGGGGAGCTGGCTCTGGCCTCCCACGGCCTGGCGCCACCCGTGAGCCCAGCTCAGGGACCTGGGTGTGCCTCTTCCAGGGGTGCTGGTGCCCAGGCCACCTCCCTAGGGCTGTCCTCATTCCTTCACGTTCCAGAGTGTGACATTTGGGACAGTGTTGTCATTCAGGAGCTCTGGAGTTTCAGTTGAGTTGTGTCCCAGAACCCTGCCCCCTGATTGCCATGAGGTGACTGTTGGCTCTGGTGTCCCCCAGAGATGGCCTGACTTCCTGTCTCCATGAGCTTCCCTCTTGAGATCCCAGATGGACGGTTGTGTGGGGTCCACCATGGAAGAGCCTGTCTCCCTGCTGTTTGTGGCTTCTGGCCCCTCGTGTCCTTGAGAACATCAGCTCGAGGGGTGGGAGTGGGGGCTTCCCCTCTAGTTTGCAATGACGCCCAGTGGGAGTCATTTCCAGTTCTAGTGGCGGTCCCCCACCCCAGGTTGGGAATCAGCTCCACAGTGACTCGGGTCCCTTCCCTGGGTGGGTCGTGGCTTCGGGACTGCCACGTCCTTGTCAGGAGGCCAGGCCATTACCATCCTCTCATAACAGGGCTCTCTCTGGCTCGAGGGGGCCCCATCCTGGTCTTCAGRCAGGTTTGGCCTGGCCAGCAGAGGACTCAAGATAACTCATGAGACCGTCAGTGTTTAGGAATCGCGAAGACTTGCGCATGGCAGCAGCCTGAGGTTCTGACATTGCTGGAGAAATTGGGAGGGACAGCATGGCCGGCATTCTTGCAGGCCATGGGGCTGGGGCTGGGACCGGCCACAGGGGGGGCCCGGTTCTGGCATTGTGCAAGTTCTGGGCCTGTCTGGTCCAGTCTAATCTGGGAGGGAAACAGGTCCCTGAGGATCGTGGGCCAGTCCTGGGGGGACCCAGGGCCAGGCGTCCATGAGGGAGGCAGGCTCCCTCCCCATGGGCCTCAGGAGGGACAGAATGTGGTGCTGAGGTTTCAGCCACCAGGGCTTGTCACTTGTTGGCCTAGTTCCCCCCAAGAACACCTTGGAGGGCTCCTGTGGCTGCGGTGCTCCACRGGAGCAGGAGCGGGGAGCGAGGGAGGTGTGGCTGCCCGCAGGCTGCGCTCTCCTGGGGGGCCCTGGGTGGAGGCTGCTCTTCCCCACACTCTGGAGGACATGGGGCAGGGGCAGTGGCAGCCCTGAGTGGGGGGAGAACCTGCAGGGGTTTGTGGCTTTGCCTCCAGGGACCACCCGGCTCCAGCCCGGCTCCAAAGGCACCTTCCCAGGAGCCTGCCCGTTCTGAGGGTGGCTCCCTGGCTGTCATTAGGCCCTGYGTCGTCCACGTGTGCGGTGCTACTTCCAGGAGGGGAGGCTTTGATCAGAGAAGAGCAGATCCCTTCTCCCCATCTCAAGCAGAAGGGAAGAGGAGAGGCCCCAAGAGACACAGGAGCCACCTACCCCTCCAGTTCTGGCCCAAAGGGACGCCCCTTCAGCCTCAGGGTGCAGAAGAACTCCCAGGACAGCTGTGCATGGGCTGTCCAGGGCACCTGGGTCCTGGGGTCCAGGAGCGCAGTCCTCAAGGCTGGATTCCCTGTGTCCTCGGCACCATATCAAATGCAGGTGTGGAGGCCCTCTGAACACYGAGAGTCGGAGACTGGACACTCAAGCCAGGGATCGGGTCTCCTGGCCCCCACCCCACTCTGGGCTTCATTAGGAGTGGGGTGAGGCAGTCAGGACAAGAGGGGACCATGTGGGGAGGGCGAGGAGCTGGAGGTGTGCCCATGATCCAGGGACCCCACAGGAGCCGCCTTTGACCGCCGACCACCATGGGGGTGGGATGGACAGGCTGGGTCACTGCTGGGGAGGGGCAGGACCCTCGCATTGAGGTCTGCTTCGGGGTCCCTGGCACACCCGTCCTGCTGCAGACTGAGGAGCGTGCCCTTGGTTTGCACAGCGTCCCCGGGAAGGTCACTGGAGCCAGGTGGGACTGATTTGTTTTGTCTCTGGGGGCCTTCATACCTGGAGGCCCCCCAGAGCAGCTCCCCACAGCACACAGCCCTGGGTGGCGCCTGGCACTGCCATCTGTGCCCTTCAGGACAGACCAGGGGGAGGTTTCTGTCTAAAACATTCTGAAGTGGCAGGGCTTGGTACTTCTCCTTGTCCTGGTCCCTGTTCTGAGCCAGCTCTGCTCTAGGTGACGGGAATATGGCAGGGACCTTGGAACAATCCCTCCCCTCCTGCAGGACAAGCTTGGGGGAGAGTTGGGGGCACATTAACAGTGTCCTAGGTGTTGAGGGCTGGACAGGAAGGCAGGGGCAGGAGTGACGGGGGTCTGGGCATCCAGAGTGCCTCCCGAGGGGCCAGCTGAGGAGGCTCTGCAGGGGGTGGGGCAGCAGAGGGACCTGGAGCCAGGCCCAGGGGGTCCCCGGCAGGCAGTGCAGCCAGAGGTGGGGGCCTTGGCTTTGAGCTGAGTGAGGTCACAGGGACTGAGCCAGATGCCACCCTGGATCTCCTTGGCTTTGGTGTGGGACAAATGAAGATAGGAGAGTAAGGACATTAAGTGGGCCCCTGTGCCTGGAATGGGACCTGTGGGTGCTCAGGACCCAGGTCCCGGCCAGCCCTGGGTGGGCGTGGCCCTGTAGAATTGTTGCCAACCGGGCACCATGACACGTTCATCGTGGACAAGGACCTGTGGGGACACACTTGGTCAGCAGGCACCCAGGCCCAGGGGGGAGGCCAGAGGAAAGGGCAGGAGAGACCCTGCCCTGACTGCCCATCGTCTAGATGGTCACCCAGGTCGCGGTTTTTCCCTGTGCCTGCCTCTGGCTGCCCTGTGTGGCTGGCAATGTCTCTGGGGAAGCATCAGGTCAGGAAGCCGTGACATGTCACCACGAATGTCAGCCAGGGTCCCAGGCTAGAATRGAGGCACAGGCTTGGCCTGTCCCAGAGGGGCAGGTCTGGTGGGGAGATGGTGGGCTGCGGGACGGGGACAGTGTGTCGGTGACGTCAGGTGCCTGTGTTTTCAGCTCTGACACAGGCCGCTTCCCAAGCGTGATCACCTTCCGGGGCCACCTGGTGTGCCCAGGCTCRCCCAGCCAACAGCGGCCAGGGTGGAGGAGCCCAGAAATTCTGGCCAGCCGCGTCTATGTCCCTGGAGCCATGGCCTGGGCCGGAGATGGTCGCCTAACCTTGGCCTCTCAGGAGGGTCCACCCGCTCAGGCTGGGCCAGCACTCTGGTTGGAGCAAGTTCACCTGAGTGGCCTCCCTGACCCAGGCTGCATGGGGAGTGGCCACTTCTACTCCTGTGTGGGTCCCGGATGTTTGAACACCTATTGCACACGGCCCTGCGTGGGGCTTGAGGACAGAGCAGGTGTCATGCCCCGTTCTCCTGGGGAGACCTCACGGGGGGAGGGTACTGCAGCGGGGCCTGAGCAGGCTGAGCCTGGGGGAGACACTCCTGCTGGAGGGACACCTGGCGAAGCTGAGGAGGAGGGGCCTTGCAGCCCAGGGGCCCCGCCTCTCACGGGAACTGAAGCAGCAGACCCGGGCTGGAGCGCAGCTCAGTGCTAGAGCATCTGCCAGCTGGGCCAGGCCCTGCGTTCCGCCCGGCACCACCAACAAGACCAAGCCCGCAGACCGCATTTGGAGAATGCTCCCAGTTTATACAGCATCTGCATAGCCACTTCCCCAGGATCCCACTGGCCCCTGACAGGTTTAGCTGGTCCCCGCAAACCTGCGGGGCCGGCCTCTGGGAAGGGGCTTGAGGACATCTCCTGGAATTGTCTCAGTCTCCTGGGAGGCAGGTGTGGCCACCCCAATCTACAGATCTGAAGACTGAGGCTCCGGGAGGGCGTCCTCCAACAGCCACCCCGAACCTACAGGGGCTCTTCCTGGGCTCTACCCAGCATGCATTGCTCTCCCGATTTTGAGCACACCCCAAGACTTCTGCCCAGCCCCAGGAAGGCTGAGCTCTGAGTGAGAGGACAGGGTCCCGAGGTGGGTGGAGACATTGGAAGGATGGCTCTGGGTCCAGGCACCCCCCCCAGGGAGTGCAGAGATGCTGGCACCTCACAGGTCCCTGGGGGACCACCCCAGAGACCTCAGGTTGAGCTGTGGCTGGGCGAGCCACGTAGCCTGGCTGAGACCCAGTCCCCACACTGAGCTCTGCCYGGGAGGCCCAGTCTGACTAGCGAGCCCACCACCTTCCCTCCACCTCCGCCGTGGCTCCTGGGGCCCAAGGGACATCCACAACCCCTGCTGCGCTTCTCGGCTTGGCACCCAAGGGCAGCCTTGGCTGGGTKGTGCACTTTGTCCTGTGCACTAAGTCACCTGGCAGAGACCTTCAGGCAGCTCCTCGGGGTCACCAATATCTGGCTTCATCTTTCAGCCTGCCCCTCCCAGCCCCCTCCTCAGAGCCTCAGTTTTTCATCTGTGAAATGGAGATGGGGACAGCACCCACCTCCTGGGGTCCCTATGGGATGCAGAAGCCTCCGGGGCYAGCAGTCACAGGCTCTTGGGCTCTGGCAGCCACAGTCACGGGTGCTCCCTGCTGTGGAAGGACGTTTCTTTCCACACGAGGCGCTGGCAATGGCTTACAGCGTTGCACAGCTCAGCGGCCTCCGGGCTGCTGCACCAGAAGCTGGGGCCCAGGACGCACTGGTCGGTGCCGATCAGTGGGACCCTGGAGGCATGGCAGGCCCCCATCTTCCTGCACACAGCCTCGGGGTCCATCATCTCCTTGAGGCTCTCGATCAGCACTGGCTCATACTCGGTGACGAAGCGGCTGCACTGCACCATGTAGGGCAGGGGCAGGATGTGGCAGCCGCCCTTGAAGGCTTTCAGGATGTCCCGCTTGGTGCTCTTGAGCTCCAGGTTTTGGGAAGACACACCCAGCAGCCTTTTGCACCCATTGCAGAAGCTGCCCTGACCATCCTCGTTCAGCAGCAGGGACGGCTCCTTAGCCTGGGCCCCCGAGACGGCCCTGGCCTGCCTGCGGCTGCTACAGAGCCGGATGGTCTTGCACACTCTTTCTGGGGTGACTCTGCTCACCATCTGCACCAAGGAGGGGCTGTAGGTGTCCACCAAGGTGATGCACTCCTGGAGGATGGAGGCGGGCATCAGGGAGCACACTCGCTCCAGGGCCTGGCTGATCATGACCTCGGTGCTGTTGGTCACCAGCCACTGGTCCAGCTTCTGGATCACATCCAGGCACACCTCGCAGGTCAGGCCTGACTTCATCTGGACCTCGTTCCTCCTCGGCAGCCCCAGTTCCAGGGAGGGGACCCCGTCCACAGCAGCTACTTGAGCCAGCTGGCGGGCAGGCTCCTCACAGAAGCCACCCTTCCTGCAGACCCCTTGTGGTGGGAGAAGTCTCAGAGTCTGCTCTGCAGGGACAAAGAGCTGGTAGATGTAGCTCTTGCAGAGGAGAGCCAGGCCAGGCTCCAGGGAGTCACACTGCCCCTGGACGTTCATCCCTGCCAAGGTCAAGTTGGACCTCTGAGCATCCTGGAGCTGGGAGACCAACCGGACACACTCTTGGCACACAGCACCCCCAGGTTTCTGTGGAGGGTGGAAGCTGAGGGCCCCGTTGGCCATGAATGGGGCCACTGCYTGGGAGGTGTCCTCCTGGGAGAGTGGTCCCCCTGGTCCCCCTGGGGCGGCCAGGTGCCTCTGCAGCGGCTCACAGAGGGTGAGCGCAGTACACACCTGGGCTGCAGAGCTGCCCGGGTCTCTGCTGATCATGCTCAGGATGACCGTGCTGTGGGCGTCCACCATCCCTTTGCATGAGGCTGAGGACTCCTGGCTGGGAAGCCACTCACAGGTCTTCATCATTGAGGCCAGGACATCGGACTCAGTGGCGTCCGGGTTCAGCCCGTTGCCAGCAGCAGCCACCACTTCTTGGCACACGTCACAGGGCAGGGACTTGGTGGTGGGCTTGTTCCAGACAGCTGTTTGGCAGTGCCCCAGAGCCCCGCACCTGGCAGCTGCCTGCAGGTCACGACACCATACCTCGGGTCCCTTGGCACAGTCCTGGGGGCCTGAGATGGGGCCAGCCATGGTGGGCCCCAGGAGGCTGGACAGGAGAAGCAGGGCACACAGCATGCTGCCCGGTGACTGGAGTTCCGGTGCTCCTGGCTGCCTGGCTGCTCTAAACCCGGCTCTCTGGCCTGTCCCTGAGCAGGTGCAGGGGAGGTTTAGATGAGGCTGGGAGGTGGTTTAGATGTTCAGGGTTGGTCTGCCGGCCAACTGCTATAAACCCGCCTCCGGCCCCTCCTGCAGCCTGACTCACAGCCCCGCCCTGCGCCCCTGTCTGCTGGCCTCTGCCTCCTCCTCCCTGCAGGTGTTCAGAGCCCACTCCTGTTTAGTGAGGCCTGTCTCCAGGTGCCTTCCTGGCCCTGCCCTCTTCAGGCCTGGCAGCTTCTGGAACGCGCCCCCCCCCATCACATACCTTGTCCTGTCTTGCTGGGTGGCCTGGGTCTCCTCCTGCAGGGAGACCAGGGGATCTCCTGCTCCCATTGGGGAGGTACGGAAAGGCATCTGTCCTGTTTCCAGAGGACAGGGAACGAGTCCCCCACCCCCATTGCTTTCTAACTGGGCTCTGGTAGGACACTTGGTCTGGGTTTTGTTTTTGGCCCTGGGGATTGAACCCAGGGGGGTTACCACTGCACTACATCACTAGCCCTTTTTATTTTTATCTGGAGACARAGCCTCCCTGAGTTGCTGAGGCTGACCTCAAACTTGCAAGCCTCCTGCCTCAGCTTCCTGAGATGCAGGGGTTACAGGGGTTCTCACCCTGTGAGGCTGGGAGGTGGTTTAGATGTTCAGGGTTGGTCTGTGGCCTCGGCTCTGCAGCCCGCTGGCCTCACAGTGCCTGCGGGAAGCTCTAGCCCGTGCGATCCAGAGCCCAGCTGTTCTCTTCACGGTGGAAACCTCTGTGAAAAGCCACGTGGGTGGCGCCTGGTGGACAGGCATACGCTTGCTGATAGCACACAAACACAAAAGGGCTTGTTTCCACCTGTGTCACTTGTTGTCCTTTTTCTTCCTTGGTTTTGAAATAGTTGTTAGGCAAGAACATTGGCACCCACGAGAACACACAGGTGCAGAGGGCTGAGGCCCACGGCCCAGGGGAGAGTTCCAGGGCAGCCTCCTGCTTGGCCCTGTTGCCAGGGCCCCATGGCAGGGGCTACACTGGGGCTCCCTGGGTGTCTTGTGGGCCTGCCCACGTGTGGGCACCTGCAACTCAGGTTCCAGGCCTTGGAAGCTGAGGCTGGTGGCCCAGGCGCCCCGTGGCCTCTCCTGAGGAATGCGGCCCAGCCCTTGGTCGTCCTTCCAGGCTGCTGGGCTTGCCAGGGAATGGGATCCTACATGCTGAGCCCTTTAAATGACTTCCAGGGGCTCTGGTTCCTTGGGGCCAGGGGAGGGGACCACCCCAGGGAGGGGTGGGACGGGGTTCTCAGCTGCAGGGAGGGCGTGAGCTGGGTGAGTGGCCCCAAGTTCCTGCACAGGGTGGAGCGGGACTGGGTGGCTCTGTGGAGGTCTGGCCAGCAGGCCTTGCGCTTCCACGCCCACGGCTCGTTCCTTGCCTGCCGATGGCCTCCCACAGCCGCCCAGGGCCAGGCACAAGGCGGAAGCAAGCAGAAGGTCCTGCCTGGGGTATGAAGGTGTGGTGGCCTGGGAGCCCCCTGACCTTCCATTCCCTCACCTTCCAGCCCATGTCACTTCCTGAAGCATCTTCCATGCAGGCTGGCTTTCCAGAGGCCAGACTGTCCTCCTATCCTGGTCCCTTGGGCCTGCTTACTAGTTGCTCCCTTTGGAAGGCCCGCCATGCTGCGTGGACACTCGTTCCTGGGTGGAATTCCCACTRGGTGTCACGTGTATTTGCCTGTTCCCCTTTGATGGGCAGGTGGGTCGTTTCCAGCTAGTGTGGATGCTGCTGCCCTGCGGTCTCTGAGCACGTCTTAGGGATGGGCCAGACTGGGCTCTGGGAGCAGAGCCGTGGGGTAGGGTCTGCAGCTGTGGGTGGTGTGCACCAGAGGTGTCCAGGTGGCTGTGCCAGTTCCGGCCCCAGTGTTGGAGGGCTTCTGACTGCCCTGCGTCTGTATGTTTTGGGGGTCGTGGTGTTGTCTGGCACCACAGTCAGCCCTCCGCGCCTGCAGCTGGGTGCCTGCAACTCCAGTCGGCCCRACGCTCACTGCAGGGTTCACAGGCCCCAGAGGGGAGAGGCTCCGACGGAGAGCCCCCCCCCCACTTTAGACCATGGCAGTCCCAGGGCGCCCCGTCTCTGGAGGGCAGCTCTAAGTGGAGGGTTCCAGGGCTCTCAGCCTGGTAATTTGCTAGGAGGCAGCTCCTGGGACTGAGGAAGGCCCGTGGCTCCTGACAGGCAGCTGCTGAGGAAGGACACCGGAGCAGGGAGGGCAAGGCGGGGGCAGGCGAGGGCATCCTGCCCCCCACACAGCCCCTCCTTGGGTCCCGCTCCCAAAGTTCACTGGATCTGGTCGAGGATTGTAACAGAGTGGACCTCCAGCACCCCTGGAGGGCAGTGGACACTGGGAGTTCTGTCCCCCAACCCCATCCTGAGGCTATTAGGGCCCTGGGCCAAGTCAGCTGGTTAGTAAACTCAGGCGTTCTGAGGACGGGGACCTCCTGCCATGGGGAGACTCCTGGCACTTGGGAACTCTGCGCCAGGAACGGGGATGAACCAAGCGTGTCCCTGTACCGCGTTTCCTTTTGATGTAATTTTTAATTTAGAAGAAACAGTGGAGGAGCCGTGTCCCTTCCCACACACGTGCCCTCACCCCAGGTACGTCATTGATCCTCCATAGACCACCCGCCCGCCTTTCTCCTCCCCATCCCTCCGCCTGTCTGTCCCTCCGTCCCTCTGTCTRTCCTCTCAGCCGCACACATACACATTTGCAGGGGGGTGGGGTTTCCTAGCCCGCGGTGCAGGTGAAGTCCATGTCCTTTGTCCCCCTGCTTCCCCACGCCTTGCATTCCGTGATCACAGGGCGGGTGTAAAGTTGGGAGCCGTGTTGGCAGCTCTGTTGACACACTTAGGCAGCCCAGCCCGGGCTCCCTGGGCGCCAGCACTATTGTGTGTGGCAGGTTATCTCCAGGGCAGTCCAGCCTGTCACGGGTTATGCTCTCTGCTCATGTCCCCTTGGTCACCTCCTCTGGGTGCCCCTTGCAGCCCTTCTTGGCCCCTTATAACTGGAGTATGGGCCAGGGACTGTCGGGCGCCCCTTGGTTTGGGTCYGTCGGCTGCTGGCCCGGGGCCTCCACCTGGGCTGTGTGCTGCTGGTGGGTGGCCTGCCAGCTGCCCCGGGCCTTGTCAGTGTGTCCTGTGCCAGCCACACAATGCTGGTGTATGCAGGGTGGTCACTGCCGACCCCTTGGTTGGGATCTACTCCTTTCCTCCTCTGTAAAGCTACTATTTCYTCTTGTAATTAATAAGTCATATTAACAAAATTATTTTGAGACCATGTAGGTTTCCTATCCACTAATTCACTACCCCATCTTCCTTCCACATTTATTAATTTGTATTTTCTTCTCCCTATTCTCTCCTCTTCCCTCCTTCTTTTCCCATCTCTTGAAGACTTAGGAATTTTTATTGCATCTTTATTATTCTGAAGTCTTGTGTATGTGATCTTAAGTTGCATTTAGCAGGTTCAAGTCCACTTGACTAGGAATGGCTTTTGTTCCTSAGTTGTCCCAGCTCCGACCCTGGGAGCCCTGTGGGCCATCATGTCCCTCTGCCCTGGCCCTGGCATTCCCGGCCCTCCTAGACTGCCTGGGATGAGCGTTCCGGCCCCTCTTGGGCTTTCCTGGATCATCCTGCTGACCGAGAACAGTGGTTTTAGAGACCAGGATCTGCACACCCGTGTGCTCACGGCCGGGGTGCTGCCAGTGCTCCGGCGCTCACCAGGCGGGGCAGGGTAAACAGTGGCTGCTCACTCACGAGGTCAAGAAGGAAGGCGGAAGGGGCCGTGTGTGTGGAAAGACAGAAACATACCACTGTAGATACAGAAACAGACAAGGTGCCCACACATCTACATACGTCACCTGGAACAAACTCAGGTACCCGTCTGCCTACACATCTGCCACCCATGCATCCACCCATCCAT